ACTGAAGGAGACTGCATTACTATTACCAATGCTTCCGTCAGAGAGTACAGGGGAATCAAATCACTGACGGCGACGACCAATACGGTGTTCAAGTTCGCCCGAGAAGAACCAGAAGACGCTGATATGGAAGAGCTCTTGAAATGGTGGAAAACAGAAGGTTTAAGATGCGAGTTCGGGGAACTCAGAGTCCTGCCGACAGAAAATCCGCGAGAAGAACCGTTGCCGAAGAAAGATATCAAGTGAAATCACCGATGATTTGATTAAAATGCATGCATCATTGCTATTTCAATAATTTGTAGACTAGATAATCCTAAGGGATGGATAACAAAATCCAGACTGGAGCGAGAGAGACGAGAGACGTTTTCACGTCCCATAACACGGTAGTGTCGTAGGCGCTACTGGCCTTGGCTTTTTTTCCCACCCCTCCGTTCGATCGAGGTCTCATCACGATTTGCCTTTTGCGGAAGCTATCATGGGAGTCCTGCTTTGAGACAAAACTTAAAACCAGGAGTTTCGCGCGAATAATAATAATCGACTAGCTTTCGCGTCGAAGGCTATTTTCGAATGCGTTCATCGGTGAAGTCCTATTTCACTGCCAACGAGGCTTCATGGACGTGCGTGAGCCGGTCGCGCTCCGAGTCTTCGAATAACGTTTCGAAAATAGGCATAATTTACTCGGGTGGTCGACCGTCGGTGGCGGACGTTTGGTATTCCTCTAAAATTGCAAAGTCGCCTATTAAGGTTTCTATCAGAGTCGTGGCGGGGAGGGGGAAGAGAGGGCATGGGCCGGCATGCCTGCGACGTGGAACTGCCTCGAGCTCCGCTCGTATTCTCGCTCGCGTTGGCGGAGATACGTTCCCGGAGCTTTCGCACAATTCACGATGGGCAATGGTGCAGCAAATAAGTCCAGAGGATCGAGAACAACTGCGAGCTGGTCGCGAAATGGCGAATGGTTGCGCGGTGGGACTCGCCCAAGGCAGGTATGGAAAGCGAGTGGCCGATGGGAAAAGAGGGTGGCACCGAAGACGAACCCTTCAAAAAACGGAGTTCATCCATGCGTCGAAATGCGACGCTGCTCGCTCGCCCGTTTGCTCACAGGGCCAGATTTACTGACTGACTGAGAGATTCTCGAAAACGGGATCGCTTTCGTATCAAAATGGCATCTATTCTGAGCGTGGACAGCAGAATGAAAAGCGACACCCTGAAGCCGCAATCGGCGGCGCCGGGAGTTCTCGACATCTACATAGAGAGAGGCATTGGAAAAGAATGAGAACGGAGGATTCCCCCGCCGATCTCGACTTCGGGTGAAGTCGCTCTCGGTGTTTTCACAACTTAAAAATACCACTGGGGATCGATCGAAGAAGAAAATCCCTGTACCGACCGTCAGCAAGTCGTCTCCCCTCTTCCCTCGATATACAGGCGGGCGGGGGAGTCTAGCGTTCCGATGTGGTAGGGTTCCGCAGCAGAGAAGGCAGATTACCGGTAGGTTCTAATCCAGCGAGTGCTCTATGACTGCATGAAGGAGAGTCCGAATGAATAACTCACCCACGGCGACGTTCGAAGTGATGGTGACGCCGTCTTCTCTTTCCCACGTGACCACAGACACGTAGTCTCTCACATAGCTTGGAATGTGACATCTCAGGACCGCTGTGTTTCCACTTATGACGAATTCGTCATACACCTGAACCTCGTAGCGTTGTTGGACGACTGGAAAGGAAACGCAAGCTGAGTTTAGTTCTCGAATTATTTATCAACTCCACTTTTCGGATGAATCTGTAACGCTACGAGCGAATCGTAACACGATTTAGCGGCTACTCTCGTCTCGCGAGCTGGTACGTTGCCAGATTCTAATTACCACGATAATTTTAATTAGGTAGTCTGCTTCGCGAGCCGTCATCGCTTAGTGTCGCATCGGGACGCGACATCACTCAAAACAATCGGCCCATGTGTACTCGTTGGGAGAGCCCGGATACGTTGTTTGGAGTTCATGGCTGTCGCGCTCGTGTAGTCTCAATGTGTCACAATTGCTGCCTACGGTCACCCTTCACGATTGTCCATGCTTCGCCGTTCTGCTCCGACCAGCGCTACACGAATATTGATTACGACCCGGAAGCCGTTCGAAGTTCGCGTGTATTCGGTTTCGCGGGGCATTTTCTCACTCGAATCGTCGACGTATGTATGAGTGAGTTCCAGAGAGGTGGGGAACGGCGGCGGTGCGGCGACGCCGAAAACTCGCGACGAAATCGCCCGAGAGGTCATTATCGATAATGTGTCTGAATGTTCGCGACATTTTTTACCGCATTTCGTTGCTCCCCCATCGCTACTTTTCCGACGCGGCCGACGAACACATTCGTTTGACGAATGCTGCTCATGAATACGACGTTGAATCACACCGGGGTAAAGGGACGGAAGGACGATGAACGGATGTCTTCATCCGTCACTTTGTTTCCGATGACATTAGCGACTCGGCAACCCCTCAATCGGAGCATCGAAGGAACGACTACACCCGCATGCTTCAGGATATGTTCAAAAATGAACGAGGAAATCGTCATCGTGAGAAATTCATTATCGGATTCGTATGTGTTCGCTTGTGGGGGCTTACGATCTCCGAAGCGATGTGAAATCAAGTGTTGTAATCGAATGAGCTGCGTTGTTTTCTGAAGAGCAGCTTCCGCACCGCCTGCAGACCGACAATAAGTGCCCCGGTTTGAGCGAAGCGGTTTCCCGAGGTTTCGCGAATCAAGGAGGATCAAGTAGCGTCAGCCTTTCGGGCTCTTCGGTGGCCTCTGGGGGACAGAGAAGAAAGAGCATTTGTTCCTTTCTCTGATACTACTCTCAGACGGCCATTCTGCAGCCGCCTTCACAAGCTCCCACCTAGCCTTGTATATTTCCTTGCCTAGAAAGTCGGAGCATCAAGTCAAATACTGAGAGGGAGAGAGGCAAAAAAGACCGCGGTTACTGGTGATGACCCAGAATTCATACGAAGCTGTGGGAAATCCGTACGATCTAATACGGAACTTCGTCCTCGGTTCGCGCGGTCAGTGACTATTGGAGCGTTTTTTTTTTCTGAGACGTATTCCGGTCTTCTGCGTGAGGTGGAGCTCGAGCTTCCTCCGAACACGATTCAGGAACAAAACTAGCCCGGCATGGAGCTCGTCTCTATCTTGTAGCGTCTTGTCTTCCATCGCATTTGCTGAAGGGAGTTCCTCCTTCGCTGAGCGTGTCCTTCCCTTATCTACAACTTTTTTCTCCTCCAACTTGCCTACCGACAACATCGCGAGCAAGAAAGTCGTACGAATGCAGGGACGTCCGTGCGTTCCTATATGGGATGTAGTATGTACATACGCTTATATTCTCAATGTGACTGGCGGCGATAGCGTACCTGCTCACGCCATCGCCTCGGGCGGCAACCCGCATGGCGAGGCCAGGACGCTCGCAATTTTTTGTGGCTCGCGCTCGGTCGGCGGTGACAAAGGCAAGGCTCTCTGTATCGTTTGTTTCTTTCATTATTTAATATCTCGGCGAAACAACGCCTCGCTTGTGTTGTCATAACACACGGTACCCGCGGAATGCTCGGCCTCGTGAGTCCAGTACAAGGACAAACTCTGCGCGGAAATGAAGCCGGAGGCGGTTCGCGGCGACCACCGACAGAAAGCGAGACCGGTAGCGGAGTTCAGAATTCTCGACGGGGAAGAAGGTAGAGAAAAAAATAACATAAAATGCACTACTTCGTCTACGAGCTTGTTTACGTACCTGCTCGGACGCGGACGTCCCGGGACCCGGCTGTTCCCACAGCGTTGGTGGCGATGCATCTGTAAGTCGTTGCATGAACATCCTGCCGATAGCGGTTGGCAGCGAATGGTTGAAGATATAACGTGCCATTGGGGAATGTTGTCCGCAATCCGTGCACCGTCGTCACCGGCTGACCGTCGTTCGATGTCACCCACTGGACCGTAGGACTGGGAATTGCCGCCACGGAACCGCAGTGAATCAAAGCTCCTGCGTTATTAATAAAGTGTACCCGAGATGGTGGTTCAGCCATGAAGCGCGGCGCTCTCTGGTTGAGCTCGACGCTACTTCCATATCCGGCGTCGGGATACCCTGCAAAAACGGAAAAAAGAAGAGCCTTAGTGATTACGGGACGTCATTGCGGTCTCGAGTTCGATTAGTTAACGTGATTCGAGTAGGGCGGCTTTCGCTCCTGACTTCCCGACTGACCCATGCGTTCGGATACGAGTTTCCCACGGACAAGAATCAGGGAATTTCCGCGAGAGAAGGAGCGCGGCAGTCTCTAGTCGGTCACGGTCCCTCAGCTAAAAATCAGCTTTCAGAGAAAAACGGGGCGATGGGCGGCGAGCGGACCCGCGGCGGGTTGGCCGAGGTCGGGAACGGGCACGGGAGTGAGGGGGGAGGCGTGGGCATCAGGATCTCAAAGGAAGAAGGAGAGCCCCATAGAGCAGTGGGGTAAAAACTCAGCGAGGGCTAAAAATCACTCTCTCATCAAAGGTCTTCTCTTTCATCATCGTCCACTTGCGTTGATGAACTCTTGTTCATCTCACTCAATGGACATCGACCACCTTTGAATTCACTTGACCACCTGACTCCGCACTAGCGTGAGAGCGGAACAAGCTGAGACCTTGGGGGAATGTGAGAAGTAGGCGACCTTCTCCATGAGCTGAGAATCACACGGGAACGATTCTCCCGTCCGTATCCCCGCCAGCGAGAATCCACGTTTTCGAGCCGACCATGAGGAACACAGTCCGGAGGCAGGGAAGTCGGTCGCGATCACCGAGTTCCATGGGTCTCGATGTGGATTCATCAGAGATGAGCAGCCCCAGACCATAAGTATTGATGGAACGTTCGGAGGATTCTCCGTGCTCTCTTTTGCATCCTCGGCTCGAGCGTTCCCTTCTTGCCTGCTCCAAGCGACCCGCATGGAGGAACAAAGTCCTCCACCCTGAAAGAGCTCCTGAGAGGCGAAGAGTTGCGCATCTCTCAGGACTCGCAACCGGAGTCGGAGAGCAGGTCAGGAGCGCGAACGGATTGTGTGACGGAGGAACGGCGGAACTGCGGCGGCTCCCCAACCCGCCGTAGCTTTGGGAATAGTGCATTCTTGGGAGCCCACGGGACCGCCCGAGCCACCGATGTGGCGCTAGTGTTGTGTGAATTTCCCCGTGCCCCGGGTGCATACGAGTCAAAAGGGGACCAAGGTTCGACAGTGTGAGAATTACGTCGCACCGTTGATTGTGTGTAGCTCGCGGTGCGGATTCGGTATCTTTGGTGATTTCCAATTGAAAATCCGTCTCCCACTATTCTTTTGACGATGAAGACGTGTTTTGCTGGCGGCAAGCCGACAACCACTTCTTCCTGTCGTTCCCCGTTCGAAAACGTGGCTCGGTGGAGTCTGGCTCTCGTTCCCGCTGCCGAACACCGAGCATCTGGAGGAACCCTATCCCTCGTACGCTGGTTTCCTTTCCCACCGAAGACCGCTTTCCCTCTGGACTGGGGACCCCGTTTTTCTGCAGCGAACACGCGTCGTCGTGAGGCGCCCGCACTCGGAACGAATCAGACCACCGCCAGTGCGCAGTCTCGTATTCTTTCATGCTCGAATTGCGGTTACCGTGATACAGAGATTCAAATCTGCCGCTCGCTTTGCCTGGCTCTCTGCCTGCAGACCGACCGATCGACCAACCGACCGACCGACCGAGCGTCCTTTGTTCACAATTGCACTTATCTCGTCTGTTCCGTTCGTTTGCGTTTAGGTGGGCCGCTTGGAACGATTTGCAACTCGACCGAACTGCCAGTGAAAATCTGGAAAACAGCGTGCCGAATCACAGAGATTTATTCTCGTTTGGAAACAAGTCTCTCGATAAGACTTTCCGTCTTCCTTCTCTCCATGCGAAGGGTCTTGGATCTGTTTCCTCGGGATACTGCCAGCGGAGATGCACCTCGATCTCCATCGCCGTTTCTCGCTCGCTCTTCCGAAACTTCCTCCCTTCTGGAGATGCATCCGCTCGCTTCGGACTTCGATCAATGCGCGGAGCGACGCCGATAGCGCGCCGCGAGGAGCTCCTTCAGTTATGTCTTCGGCTTTTCCCCTCCACCTTCTGCGCATCTCACCGGGGCACTTCCAATTCATACAGAGCATCTAATTCCGTGATGATAATGTTGAACCTGCTCGAGCCAAGGCTTGATTTCCGCATCCGGAGGAAAGCCCGATATACTTGACACCGTCATCTCGGGGAGGAAAGCATGGTCGAGGGTAGAAAGATTGAACGGAAAGATTAGGACGTGTCCCTCGTTCTGGCGTGAATTTTGCTCTTCCTTATAGAGTGAGGCGTCTCAGTCAGTGCAACATATTGGATGAATCCTTCCCGATAGCGCCACTGCTCGGGCTGCTCCAACGCTGTGCCTAATGACAGCAACAACGACAGGCAAGAGTAAGGACCGTCGAAATTGACTGATGAATGGGTAAGTGCCATAGAGCACGGACGAGGAGCTCGATGTGGAGCAACACGGAGGGATGGGGCGCGGGACTCTTGTGGAGCGAAGATCCCAGCTCGGAAGAGCCTCGTCCGATCGAGATCCTGAAGCTGGGACGAACCTTTCGTGGTCGCCTAATTTCTCGCCGAGTCATTCTCCTCGAATTGCCTAATAGTGCTCCGGGAGGGAACCGATCGTGAAGTTTCGCGTGCTCCTTGAACAATGAAGGTCTCGCCAAAGAGTCCCGAGCTCCAGAAAAACTGCAGGAATGATAGAGCTCCATACGTTGCGTTCCACGATCTTCACGTCAAAAGCGCGGCAGGGTCGACGGGATTCCCGAGGCTGGCTCAAAGAGATGAAAAGTTTCGCTTCTTCGGAGATGATTTGAATTTGAAATTAGTCCGTTTGTACTAGTTTCCGTCATTTTTTTTCTGAGTCGGGCTTTCAGAACTCGGGATCGTACCATATGTGCCGCCCCTTACTCTCTCAACTCCTAAGCCTAAAGCAGCTTGTCGAGTGAGCACCGCTACCGCGTAGTCCTCTCAATTTCCTGCTCGACCTCCATTCTCCACTAGGCGGCTGGGCGCCTCATCCTCGGGTTCCACTCTGCTTCTCATACAAAGCGACCATTCCCCAGCTCTTCCAATTGATTCCCAATTCGCTATCGCCAGCTTCCCTCCCTTGTACGGTTTTTCCCTCGGTGGTCCGCCGTTTTTCCACATTGCTCGGAATTCCCCTACGAAAGCGAGAGGGCTGAGGGCCGAGTCACTCTCCCGACCACCACTTTGCTCCGTTTTTCCCCCCGAGTATGCATCGCGCTCTCATTGCGCGAACACCCCCATCGCTCGCTTTGACCAAACAACAAATCTAGTCATCCGTTTTTCTCAGCGTTTGACCTCGCGCATTTCACTCTTTACTTTCGAAAGTCGAAAGATACAACTAACAGTTTCCATATCCGCAAGTGCTCATCTGATACGTAGAAAACAAATCACCAGGCTCGAGAAGACACCTTGAGGGGGAGCGAGCAAGTTTAGCAAAGATCGCAGGCGGAGGTGTCGCTCTCTCCAAGATGAACGGTGTTGCTTATTGATGACCCGCGCTGTCGACACCACGACTCTTGTAAATCATTGATTACTTAGCTGTCTCGTTCTGATTCTCTTTCCTCTTCATTGTCAAGCGTATTGTCATCTCTCCTCCCTCGTCATTCCAGCGCCGATGTCGGCGTGATTTTGCGGCAGCATTCCGACTCGGCAGACAGATCGACTGCTTGACGTGAGTTCATCAATTGCCGAGAGAGGTTCACGTGGGACTCTCCCATCTGGGTCGCTCGCTCCGAGGGAAGATCGACGTCGCGTCTTGCTACCGCTGCGACCGTTGCTTGAGAGTGATCGAATGACTTGATTAGAACGGAGCCACAGGAAAGAGCGAGGCGACCGTGAGAGCGGCAACTCATGGTGGATCTAATAGTTTTCCATAGCTCGGTCGTCCCGACAACGGTAGCTGTAGCTTCCAGCGTCGTCAGTCTGTATCCGTCGTATCTCTCGGGAACCGATCTGCACGGCAGGCGTGCCATTAATCTGAACGTTTACAGTCGATTTAGCAGAACGCCATAGCGGGGGAGGGAAGACTTCTTTCGCCTCCTCCTTGTCGCTCGCGCCACTCGTCGGCTTGTGAACGACGCATTTGCTTAGGGAGACCGCGGTGGCGGCAGCAATAAGAAAAATAGCAACAACAACCACGTCGACAGTGCAGAGAGAGTGCGAACGCCAACGACCTTCGACAGCGGAGTTGTCAGAGACCGTTGGGTGGGGAAGAGGTCGGGGAAGCGAAGGGCAACAAAGTTTCCGCACAGTATCAGCGGCTCCGGCGGAATACTCTCAAGACCTTGATTGGGAGTTGGGAAGAAATGGGAGAGCGGGTTGGCGGACAGATGCTTGGGGGCTCTAGAAGATATCATGCGAGTTGTTATCGGGCAGCAACACAACTAGTCCGATCGGCTTCATTAGATTGAAATTAGTTCTTGATTACCATCACAAGGAAGAAGACCGGCGGCGAGGGAATGCTGACGCGAACAAACAGACGTTCTTGTTTCCACAGACGATAAAACAACACCAAGTGCCTGACAATTGTTTTCACCACTCGATCGGACTTTGTTTCCAACCGTCGAGAATATCTATCTTAATACATGGGGCTCTCCGTGTTTGTGTGTGTTCGTATGAGAGTCTCTATCTATCCGCCTGAGCTCGTCGCTGGGTACGATCTGTCACTCATACACGCTTGAGTTGAGACTCATTGAGACCACCATGGCCCATTCGTTCGCCCAGCCGCCGCCAACATTGCCTCGGCCGCTATTGAAGGAATTGCGAGAAGCGATAGTGGAGGAGAGATCGGAACGGAGAGGGGAAGAAGCGGGCTCGAGGCCAGCGATGAGGAAGCGCGCAAGCCAAGGGGATACGTAGTATGTAACAAGCCCACTCCATCATAGATATATCAAGCGTGGTGGCGGCAAGACTGGCTTATCTGAAGATGGTCGGCTCGCTTCGTCCGAGGGACATCGTTGACCACTGGACAACTGAAGGCATTGCCGGAGGAACGTCGAACGAACTTCGATTCGAGACGCGACTCGCCGGGAGCAAGAGAACACGCCTCCGAAGGGAGACCTGCGAATTCGTGCTGATAACGCAAGAAAATTCTCCTTCCGAACGCCGGTTCCGACGATACAGGTATAAATTATTTTGA